TGTAGTTATAAATTACGAGGTCAATCTCATGCTACACTTAAATTACGGTCACAAATAATTTTAATTTATATATTTATAAATTGGTTAATTATTTAACCAATAATGCTACACCCCTATAATTTATTATCCCTAAATCACTCTTAATGATGTGGCATTGAGTTTAAATTCCACATAATGGAATGTTTAACAAATTAGAATTTGACGCTATCAAATACATCATTAGAGATAATTTTTAAAAGTGATAAATTAAATGTCTACCATTTTTCTTATTTAACTCGTAGTTTGTAGTTCTAAATTACAAGGTCATTCCCATGCTACCCTTATGTCCCCTCAAAATTCGTGGCTACACTTAAATTAGAGGTGTGCGTGGTACGGGTCGGTGCGGTTTAGGGGTAAAATATAAACTGCACAATGGGTGACAGATTGATAAAATTGTCATCCGAAATTATCATTTTTCTTAAAAAAAATTGACGGTTCAGTTGCTAAATAATAGCGATTTTGACTTGGCAATTTAGGCAGATTGGCAGTTTCAAACTACAAAACTTGACTCAAAGATCAAAAAAATCTAATTTTATTACAAGTGGGTTTCCAACATCAAAGCAATCATTACTTGTATTTTCCTCATCCATTATTTTTTACAAAATACAAATTTATAATGATGATAAGTAAAAATATTTCAAGTATTTCCAACTGAGAAAGCATGTAACCACTACAAGAAATCAGCTTTTTAGGGACAAATTTATTTTGTCCCTAAAAGTGTAATATTTGTTGGGAAAAACTTTAGCCAACCAATTTCCTCCGTCGCGAAGTTTGTCCCAAATGGCCCGTCCGGAAAAGTCAAAAAATGACTTTTAGAGACAAAATTTTGCATTTGTCACTATAAATAGACTTTTAGAGACAAAAATAGGTGGTTGCAAAAAGTTTTGATTTTGAGACAACCAAAATTTGTCTCTAAAAGTCTATTTAGACTCAAAGATCAAAAAAAATCTAATTTTATTACAAGAGGGTTTCCAACATCAAAGCAATCATTACTTGTATTTTCCTCATCCATTATTTTTTACAAAATACAAGTTTATAATGATGATAAGTAAAAATATTTCAAGTATTTCCAACTGAGAAAGCATGTAACAGTGTTGTTAAATGATATAGTCTGATACAAGAAAATGGTGGGAAAAAATCCAGAAATTCATACAGGAGGTGGAAAATTTAAGATATTTTTCAAAACAGTTTTGAGATAGTTGTAGTTCATGTATGCTTCCTTCTCTGCCTCTCTACTGGCACTTGGAAGGTTTAAAGGTGCATACAATAAGCACCTTATCACGAATTGACGTAACTTTACAACAAAATTTTGTAACATTAATCACAAAATGCATAATCTCATCACAAATTAGAGTAACAAAATGGCCAAAATTTTGTGGTTGATATTATAAAAGTTTGTGGCTTGGTTAGGACAATTTTTTTGTTATGCCAATTTGTGTTGAAATTATGCATTTTGTGCCCAATTTATGATAGGGTGCATATAGTGTGCACCCCTTAAAGTTTTCTTATAGTTTATGCTCATTTGCGTGTTAAATACAAAATAAAATGAAAGCTTGATCATAATGTCTTTTGCTTTTTTGGGCGTATTCAATACAAAATAAAATGAAAGCTTGATCATAATGTCTTTTGCTTTTTTGGGTGCATTCAATACAGAACAACGTGATGCCCTTTTTTTCTTCTTTGGATTTGAAATAAAACTTAGACAACAAAATAGGGTGATTCACCAAAACCCAAATTTGAAAAATAGTTTCATTAATTGCTTTTATTAAAGAACAGAAAGAGAAGAGATTAGTGCGTACCATCGATCACCGCCGAAACTAGTTTCTAGAAACGAGTCGTCGTACCTTCAAAATAGTCTCGCTCGCCGTCAATCTTGCCGCCGAAGAGAGAGAACCATTGTTAAAGAGAGTCTACAGAGAGAGAAGATGGACTCTGTTATATATAACAGGGTTTCTTGAAAGTGTAAATTACACTTTTCCCTCATATGAGAAGAGAAAAATAGGAGAGAAGAAAAATGACAATGATTATTTATCCAAAAAAAAATTGAGAATGACTACGTCCCACTGGAACCGATGACATGTTAGCGTTGCATTGGGACCACACACCGATCAACCAATGTAGCGCCGGCACATGTGGAGCTACACATGGTCGGCTTCAACTTTGCCAAATTCTGTCAATATTATAAGGGTAAATTACACTGACACCCCTTGAGATTTCTATTTAATACAGATCCCCCATTTACATTCCCCTCCCTAAGGTTTGTAACTTGGATTACGATGTCATGTCCTAAAATTTTCTAAATAATCATCTTACCCCTTTCCTATCATTTCTTCTTCCTATCATCATGACTAACTTTTCATCATTAAATTCTACGTGAACATATTCTTATTGTGTAATGATATACAAACATAAATTTTATATAGAGTTTTCAAACACAATAATATAGCTTAATGGTGACCCTTTTTTTTTTTTTTTTTTTTTTTTGGGAAAAAAAAAAATTGGGTACAACAGAATTAAAACAACAAAAGGAGGAACTAAGTCCTCTTCCTACCCAAACCTATCATATCAGATACAAGCAGCTCTCTTAACTCAGCTGGTGGATCATTCATCACTAGTATTTCTTCGGGTTGGTTGGCTCCCACTTTTGCCAAAAAATCAGCACACAAATTGCCTTCTTTCCAGACATGGTGGTTCATCACCAGTAATGGTGACCTTTCACTTTAAAACAAAACACTCATAAACATGATTTATATTCACAACAATATAACTATCACAATATGTTTATGATATTTTTTGTATAAATTTTTATATATGAATATAATTTTTCATTTTTATTTCCACCATTATAACTAGATTAGATCAATTTAATTTAAATATATTTAAAAAATACAAAATTTGTACCCCAAAAAAAATTCAAAAAATCATTGAATACAACAAAATAAGATAATGTAGTAAATTTTTGTATTTTTTTATATTTGATGAATTTAAAAAAAAAATCACAAAATATTATACTTCTTAAATATATCTAGATTAGGCGTATCTAAAAAATAAAAATATTGCTTAAAAGTTTAAAAAAAAATTAGTAAAAATAAAAATAAAAACACAAAAAAAAGATTAATTTTTTGTGTGAGTTAAACCAAAGAAAATGATTGTTATTTTTCTTGAAATGAAATGAACAAAATATTTGTATTATTTTATTATTTTATATGTATAAGGGCTAAGGGGCAAATATGTCTTTTTAATACAACATGAGGTAAGTGTAATTTTTCAAATGTGAGGAGAAATCTGTATTAAACAGAAATCTCAAGAGGTATCAGTGTAATTTACCCATATTATAATTAAGTAAGAGAAATGACAGACCATTAGAGATGATTTTTAAAGATGTCTTATTGTATATTTAGATTTTGACAGTTACTTTAGTGCATTACTTAAAATGCTCTAAATGAGCCAAAGTTAAAGCCAACCATGTGTTGGCGCTACATTGGTTGATCAGTGTGTGGTCCCAATGCAACACTAACATGGCATTGGTTTCAGGGTGACGTAATCATCAATTTTTCTTTTATTTTTTTTTTGGGTGATAAATAGTCATTTTTCTTCTCTCCTATTCTTTTTCAATCCATGTGGTTCCCCTCATTTTCTTGCATCACCCTCTTGTTAATTTTCAATTGCAAATGGAGGACAAGCACAAGGAGCACAAATACACCCTAGACCAATACCGGTCAAAAGCCGAGCACTACATATGCTCATGCCTCAACAAAAACAACGGCACCAACAACATTGATCCTACTTCGGGAGGCCTTTATTCATTCGGCAATGGAACAACATGCAATATGTATCGCCACATTCCTTCTCACCTTATACTCAGACTTCCTCAAAAGCTCGAACCAAAAGCTCAACTGCCATGGAGGAGTAGTTAGCCCAGAAGAGCTCTTCGACCTAGCCAAAGCTCAAGTGGACTACATTTTGGGGTCCAACCCCATGAACATGAGCTACCTAGTTGGATATGGTACTAAATACCCCACAAGGATGCACCACAGGGGTGCATTAATCGTGTCCTACAGAGAGAACAAAGGGTTCATTGGGTGCACCCAAGGGTACAACAATTGGTACAGTAGAGAGGAACCAAACCCAAATGTTGTTGGAGCATTAGTTGGAGGACCTGATTGTCAAGACAATTTCAGTGATCAAAGAGGCAACTATATGCAAACTGAGTATTTGTGCTTTTTTTTCTTTTTTTTTTTTGGTGGGTGAGTTTTATCAGTTGTAGCCCATTTTGTATCTCTTCATTTATGTGTTCATAATTAGCATATATAGTAAAGAAGGTGATTTCTCTTTTGTTATTAAGCTTGTGTTGTGCCTTTCAATCATCACCCGAAGCAATCCTCCCTTCCCTGGTCATTCTACAGTCCTTAAGCCTCCAAGCTACATTGGTTTCAAGTTCATTTCTCGTTACATCTGTATATACCATCTCAGTAGAATTCTACAAGCCTCCTGCTTTTATAGGCAAACTCTGCAAAATTGTAGTTCCCAATTGCATATTAGTTATTTATAAACAAACCAGAGGACAAATGGTTTACACGTCAACATTCTATAGATTTAAAACCATGAAAACAATCAATGTTACATAGAATTTGGTATGTGTACTGGGTGGCGGTATATGTGCCGAAGCGTCCAATTCATCTAATCTCTTGTCCAATGACACAAGGGCAGGGTAAAATATTTATATTTCTTGATATACTTCTTCCAGTTTATAGGATAAAATGATTTTCACAAGGTGCCATAGAACATTGTAGGTTTTATACGTAGTTTTATGGTTAACTTGAATGAAATGCTTGCCAGGCCAACTACACATTTTGGACACATCTCATAGCCTTACTCGTGTCAACTGTCCGACATGAGTACTTAATACATTTAGAAGAGTTCATGTAACATAAATATGCATGTGTTTACACTCACAAAAGTGAATATCAAGACAATTGATTGATCTGGCTCAACATAAATATGCATGTGTTTATACTCCACAAAAGTGAATATCAAGACAATTGATCTGGCACTATGTAAACATTCAGAATATCTAATGCCATATGGGTTGCCTACCATCATCTAATTCGTTACTGCTATGGCTGCCAAAGCTACAGTATATATAAACTTAGAAAAGAGTTTCTGCCTTCACATTATGCATAAACTACAAAATTTTACACCCAAAATGACATTCTAGCCATGGACATGAACAACAATCAAATAAAAGTGCTTAGTTGGGAAAATGATCTGGATTTCTTACACCACCTTCCTGCATCAGCTCCACATGTGACGCTGTTCATGATCAGATATAAAATTCTGAAAGAAGGAACAAGAAAAAGGAAAAATTGGAAAAGTTGCCCAAAGACACAACTTATATGGAAACTACACACACATATGACGAAGCATGTACCAGGAATTCAAAAACACACAATTCAAAATTTGGCAGACACAACTGCACTATAAGCTAGCTATGTATCAACATGAACTAGGAAATGTAACCATACAAAACAATGGTCCAGAATCTATTCAATGATTCATCATGGTGTTTTTAAATAAATAACCCAAAGGCCACTCGATATTTATAAACAAACCAATCAACTGCCGCACACCATAGAATGATGAAGGGTACCAATAGATGTCATTGGTTGGAAAGACAACCTGGTTAGTTGTGATTCTTCAACCATCAGTTTTAAATTGGATGTCATAATCAAAGGGCATGTTATAGTTGGTTTCTACTAGCCTCTAAATATCTGGTTTTATTTGGAATAGAACTGTAACGCCCTCAAAATTAACCCATTATATATATATCATTGACACTCATTATTTAAAGAAGATAATCTATTAATTCATTCATCAGAGTATTACAAAATAAAGCATTACATGTATCATCGAATAAAATGCCCTACAGGCTGCTGAATCTTCCACGTTTTGGATCCCCCTCACAAATCTTTTAATCATATAGTCACAATTGTACATAAAACATGAACTTTTTAATGGCAAATAACTGTCTGTAATACTCCCACAACCACCAACATTTGGGTCAATAAACACCACAAACAAGACAAGCCAAAGTACTTGGAATTTGGAAACAGTTCACTGTACTAGATATCCTTCTTAAAAGTTGAATACTGTGGTGACAGTCTATTTTAACAGTCCATATTGAAGATATGGGAACTAACCTCCAAAGAATAGGTCACTGAGAAGAATCACTTGCAGCTGCAGGGAGGTGGCTCACAACAAATGGTGGACGTAGAGCTTGGTGGTTTGCATCCTTCTGTTTTCGGGCTTTATACATCTCCTCAGTCTCAATCACAACCAATCTCTTAACCTAAGTGAATGTTAAAAAAAAAAAAAACATCATTTAGTAACGAAAAACATAAAATATATTCATTTTTAAAAAAAAAAATATATATATGCATTCATTGCAAGCTTTACTAATACCTGCTGAAGCATTCCTCTGACAGTAGGAGTGTTCCATCTCATGACAGTTCGATTACATTTGCGAAGGCGCAATGCCTCTAATGTTCGCCTGTGAAGTCTCCTAGTTCCCGGAATGCCCCTCACCAAGGTTATGTACAAGTTGGGGCTCCATGCAATAGGGACACATGCTTTGTAGGCCTTGAATGCATTCATTTCTTCTCTTATGTTTCACCTGCACTTCCCAGTAAAACATTTTAGCATAAGAGTTACAAGAATAGTACTGAACCCCACACAGCAAAAAAATAATAATCTTGACCACTGATTATCTAGGCTACTTTGACAATCTTCACTTCTCTCTGCTGAAGAACCTCAAACTTTTGAACTTAAAATAAATCAACACTAGCAGGCTAGCAACAAATTCAACTAATATGAATTTTCTATAAGATGATGTTAAGCCTTCATTCAAAATTACCAGAAGTCATACTGTAGAAAAAGAACATGATGAGATATTTTTAAAAAGGATTGTAACATATTGTTGGATTGGGCTCAATGGACATGGGCCTGACCAGAAAGGATTCCACACAGTAGATGGGCTTCATTAGTGAAAATGAAAAAATATTTGAAAAACCCTCTGCACAATTGTTACTCTTGTAGTGGTTCCCAAAAACCCTAGCTGCCATTGTCACTGGATACAAGCTCTGTTGCTGGCCGGGATTCGGGGTCAGCTTTCTCTCTCTTTATGAGTCATTAATCTGCAAATGCTCCATTTCTTCTTCTTCTTTTTTTTTTGATAAATACAAATGCTCCATTTCTTTCTCATTTCTCGATTGTTTTGCTTAATTTAGTTGCTGAGATGTGGCATATATTTAAATGTATGATCTGCGTCTAGTTTCAAATTATACAAGCCTGTAATTAGGGGTGTGCGTTGTGTGGGTCGGTGCAGTTTAGGGAAAAAATAAAAACCGCACGACGGGTGGTGGATTAATAAAATTGTCATTAGAAATTGCCATTTTTCTTATAAAAAACCGGTGGTTCGGTTGCCAAATAATGGCGGTTTTGACTTGGCGGTTCAGGCAGATTGGCAGTTTCAATGAATATTCTTGTGTGAGTGTCTTGAACCTAATGTTCCTACCTAGATCAATCAGCTAGGAACTTTTATTCATTTACATATTCTTCCCTCTTTTTTTCTTTTTTTTCCCCTACTTATCATCATTGTAAATATGTATTTTATAACAGATAATGGACGAGGGAAATTCAAGTGATGATTGCTTTGATGGTGGTGGAAACCCTCCTCCACCAGTCCAAGTCCCAATTTATATTCACCCAAAAAAAAGTCCCAATTTATAGTGACTTTTTCATTACAATCTTAAGTACAAGTGATTTCCTCAACTTTAAGAGGCCTAAACTCAAGTGATTTTCTCTAAAAGGGTTTAGTATTTATGGGTTTAGACACATTTTGCTAGTTCTATGTTATTTACTCTCAAAAAAATATGTTGAAGAAATTACAAGAAAATTTTCAACGTTTCATCCCAGTAACAACAAAAAGTGACGAATCATTGAGATTGAGTCTTAAGATTTAAAATTATAAAAAATTACAATTTAGATTTTTAATCGTTACTTGGGTGAAACCACCACGGAGTGCCCCACCCCCTCTAGTCGATTGAATTTTGTTTCTCTCCAAATTTTGAGGATATATTTAAGCAGGATTTCTTCTTCTTCTTCTTCTTCTTCTTCTTCTTCTTCTTTTTTTTCATTCATTTTGGTATCCTTTATCCAGACTTTGGTCTCATATTTGCGTCAAGAATATTAGTGTATGGTGGAGATTAAAAGTTTTTATTATGGGATTTATGTGTAGAATGAATCTAAAACATTTATTAATATTTTTGAATAAAATTTCTAATTTTGTATTAATTTTGATCTAACCCTTCTAAGTTGTAAACTGGTATTTACTCTCTTTTATAATAATAATAATAACAGTTACAAACAAGGCAATCCTATGGAACAAACTAATTTATCAAAAATAATATTTCAATTTTTAGAGATAAATTTATCTTTGTAAAAATATTTTAAAAAAACCATTCAACTAGACACAAAAGTATTAAAATTCACAACAAAAGTCAAAATGCTTCAATCATTTATTACTTTGATGAACTTATCAATATCAAATGATCATTTCACAAGTACAAAACACACTTAAAAAATCTCCAAAAAAAATTATTATCAAAACTAGGGACAAATATGAAACATGGCATGCAAGTTTTGTGGAGGAAGCCCTGATGTGAATAACATGGCATCGTCAGGAGGAGCCACATATATGGGATGGGCCCATATATACGGGATGGGCCCATATATACCTACGCTAGGCATAAGATATGTTAGACATCGACAGGTCTATGACCACTTTTTAGTGCATATAAGGTGAGGTTGAAAACAAAACCCTTTATCTTGAGTCTCAATTGTAAGCATTACTTAAAGAAGGATGACAAGCTCGTCTATTTGTGCTCTACAATGCATGCCTTTATCACTCCAACAAAGTTTGAGTTTTGTGAGGAGATGTCTAAATGCTATCAAATCTTTTCTCAAGTGATACTGTCTTGCTTTATATAATGTTTGATCAATATAACATATAAAATAGTACAAATACCTTCCAGTAAACAGACTTTCCAATCCTGACATTTTCTCCTGTGACCACTTTTTAGTGCATACAAGGTGAGGTTAAAAACAAAACCCTTTATCTTGAGTCTCAATTGTAAGCATTACTTAAAGAAGGATGACAAGCTCGTCTATTTGTATTCTACAATGCATGCCTTTATCACTCCAACAAAGTTTGAGTTTCGTGAGGAGATGTCTAAATGCTATCAAATCATTCATTGCCTCTTGAAGAATGGAAACCACAACTGGACCTAGCAGCTAAAGGATACAATGAAAATCAAATAGGCATACCATTTTCTATCCAACACATCTTGTGCGTTTATTTCAACTACTGAAAATTGTGGAAGAGTTTAATACCAAGAATGGACTACACCTACCTGACTATGATTTTCAAACAAAACAATATATAGAGCTTCAGCACAAGGTCTCAGTTTTTCTGACCACAGAACTGAATCCTGCTCGTGGTGAAAAGCCTCAGATTTATGAACTGATTCAAAAAAAAATTAAAAATTAAACAGATTTATGAACAGATTTAAAAATTAAAAATTAAACAAATTAAAAATATAAAGATTCAATTAAACAGACTCAGTTTGAATGTAAACAGACACAGATACAGTTTGAATGTAAACAGACACAGATTCAATTTCAGAAGTAAATAACACACAGCTCAACAATCTTGAAGTAGTTTAATGTCTTTGGTTCATATTACAACATTTTTATCTAATATTTACACTGTTTTCATGAAATTAACTCGGCAGTAAGTGTTCAGCTGAAACACAATCATAAAAGAAAATTTATTTGCTTACCAAGTTGCCTAACTCTGAGACTAGTTTTAGTCTGTCAGCATTTATCAATTCTGTTCTGGATACTACTTTAACACAGATTAACACAGATTCAACTCAGATTTAGATTAACACAGATTCAACACAGATTTAACAGAACAGATCAGATTCCAAAACAAAACAAACACACAGATTCCAAAACAAAAAGAACAGATCTGTTGGTCCAACAAAAAAAAATCAGATTTAAACACTCAGCTTCGATCGGTGCACAGAGAGAGAGAGAGAGAGAGAGAGAGGCTTACCTATGAGTCGATCGGTGCAGAGATGCAAAACCAAACTGTGGATCTGATCAGATCAGAGAGATATGTATGATATCTGATATATATATGTATATATATATAAAACAAAAAAAAATCAACGATCGGGGCGAGAGAGAGATATTGAGAGAGAGGGTTTACCTGTGAGTAGATCGGCGGTGCGATGAGATGAACAACGAGAGAGTGAGAGAGAGTGATCGGTGCAGCAGAATAACGAAACGAGAGAGTGAGAGAGAGAGAGAGAGACAGTGATGAGTTTTGAGATGAGACTGAGAGAGTGAGGGAGGCGAATGTAGGGTTTTTTGTTTTGTTTGTTGTAATAGATGAGGTGAGGGAGATGATGGACGGCTAGATTTGAAAGAGGGAAAAAAATTAATTTAATGTGGGTGGGTTGGGTAGGTGCGGGTCAAATCTGTAACCGCCGACAACCCGAAATTTGTAAAAAATCTAAACCGTACCCTACTCTAATGTGTTTGTGAAATCGTCCACGCACGTGTGGTTCGATTCGGATAGGGCGATTTGGACGGTTCGAATAACCCTATGTCCAGCCCTAATTTTGAGTTAAGTAGGTTCATCGAAATAAAATTTCTCCTATGTTGTCCCTGTTGTCCCTCAAAAAATGCCGTATCATGTGTGTATATATATATATATATATATATATAAATTCAATAAAGTCAATAAATGAATAAAAGTACTAAAATAAATATTTAAAAAAATCATGTAAAAATAAATTTAGTTCAGACCACATTTTAAAGACACATGTCACTTAATAAATAGTCTTTGTTTGGAAAGAGTTAAAATAGGCTATTTAGCTTGGTTTTTTAGTCTCGTTTGATTTTTATTTTTGGCTCTTTTGACTTTTGTGAGAAAAAAAATGGAATAATTTTAATTTAAATATGATATTTTGTCTTATTGACTTACGTAATTAATTTTGTCTTTTGTACTTTTTTAGCCAAAAAACCAAAACAAAATATAGCTTAAAGTTATCTTTTTGCTGTGATCTCACATACTCAATAAGTTCATTACGCTTATGATGAATTTTAAAATATTGAATCATATCATGGCAAGCAATGAACTTATTTAATTGAAATGTCTGGCTTTTGTGATAAATTAATTAATTAAAATTTCTATGAGTATTAGTTATTGTGTGTGTTAATTTTCGACCACACCGTCAAACTAGTACTCAGCTATAAAACACCGGCAGAATAGATTAAGCCCAAACAACCTGTCACAGAAAGATAAGAATCCCGCGGTGGTTCGCCCATCCGGGGACACTCCAACGATCAAGTCAGTTATCTCTCAAAAATAGCAAAAATACTTAACTCACTAGACAAAGCATAAAAGATATGCCTTAGACCTATGAGGGTACCTCCATTTTATAGCTAACACAAACCTAATCCCAATAGAAGCCTAGCTTCAATGGACTTAGGATTACTGCTAATCTTGGACTCGCAGTAGGATTGGGATAAACTCTCTAAGAGTCTTATCTTTACCCAAACTGAAATCCTCTCCCATTCTAGGACTCTTGTCCCTTATCTGCTTATCCCGGATTCCGGTATCTTCGCCAATAACCTCGGCCTATCCAAGATTACCTTGGCGCCATGACCAAGACACGTGACACCTCGACTGGCACTTCGGTGCCACCTTAGCCACGTGTTGACATTCAAAAATTAAGTCCCCACAACTGCCCCCTAGGTTCTATTACCTCGGCATCCTGAGGTGATGAAATCTATATCATTCCGTCCGTCTAGCACGTTGGCTAAGCTTGCTTCATCATTTATTGTCGAAGTCAGAACTCGTCGGCTCAATATGATCAAGACCTATAGTCTACTTTCATCAATGCTTTAGAACCAACAACCAGGTTCGTTCAAGTTCACTAAGCCGAGACCGGCTCATTAGCCGAGGTCTTTGCCTCACTAAACCAAGAACTCCAAGCGTTTTATCATGCGTATGAGCTGTCACGCATAGTATTTCAACCGTTTCTGCCACGCGTCTTTCCCTTACTGGATCGTACCCGACATGCGCCATCAAGTTGCAACGTTTTTGCGTGCGCCGTCTGACAAGCACGTCGTCCCAGGCACATAGATGGTGTTTTGCCGCCATTTCTCCGCATTTGATCAAAATCAACCATCTCTCTCTATCTTTTCACTTTTGCATCCTCGTTCTCGTGCAAACTCTCTCTCTCTCCAACTTTCTCAAATCCGTCATTGTTCCAAGCTCTTCAAGCTCTGCAACCATCGCCGTTCACCTCCTTCGGCGAGGCCCTTGCTGATCTTTTCCATTTGCTGCCATCGTCTGACTCCGGCGTACTCAACACCGGCTTCATTCGTCCTTGGTGAGTCACTGTTTCTCTCCGATTTAACTTCTTATTTTAGTTTCTTGTTTCTTTTAATGAACTCCATTGCTTTACCTGTTGCCTCTACAATCCTGCTCATGTCTTTGATCGTTTTAACTTGTATCTTGAAATCCACCATGTATTTGAACATGTTTGTTTCATGATTTTGTTTTTGCCCAATCCATTCTTGAGTATACACACACTGCTTACATTTTTGTTGATTTTTGCCACTGTTCTTGGCTTCGCACCCTTATAAACACTCTATCATAGCGTTCGTGGTGGTTGATCATTATTCCTAATTCTGAATCACTGTTCTTGTTTTTGTGTTTTCTCCATATTCTTGCCTCCAATCTTCGTTTCCATAGATCTAGGTTTGGGATTTATTTGTAGAACCCACAAATTTTTAGGAAAAAACTGAAACATACTCCCCTTAGATCCTTACAAACTCTTGCACCAGCATACCTCTAGGTTTTAGCTGAGGTCATCCAAACCTTCACTGAACACTTCTTTTTGAAATCAAACACCCTCCCCTTAAGCCGACAGCATGGGTATATGAAGGCATATGGTAGACACCCCAACTAAGTTAGAATACTTCAAGCAGGAGTTTGACATCCCGGCTAACGTTCACCTGCGGTTGGCCGGGGAGAACGACTCCATCATGCCTGATGGAAACCTCATGCCTTTCCCTGTCGTTGCCTTCACAAAATGTGGACTTAGGTTTCCACTAGACATCATTTTTCGAGAAGTCCTCCATTATTACAAATTGAACCCAATGCAGCTTGCCATTAACTCTTACCGAGTTATCAATGGTATAATCGCCTTAGCACGCCGAGAAAAAGCTAGGGTAACCTTAGCCGACATTCAATATTGATATACCATATGTGGCCTCAAGTTAGAAAAAGGCTACAACTACTACCTTAAACCGAGGTCCACATAATATAAACTTGTTGCCAACCTTCCAGACTCCAACAAGGGAGTTGGGGACGATTACTTCATTGTCTCGGGTTATTGGGAGTTTGCTCCAGATGAGGACGGCCACCTCTACCCTCTTAGCCGAACAGTTTTCATAGAGGGTAATGGTAAGAGCCAAGTGTTTATATATTTTTTCCAAGTCTTTAATACTTTGCTCTTTCTATATGTTCTAACGTCTGTTTTTCTTGCAGCTCTTCCACAGCCACCAAAAGACTTCCGTAAGTCCTTCTTCCTCAGCAAGGATCTTAAGAAGTTGTTAGATCTTCCAGTCCATAGACGGAGAGCTCCTCTATTGCTCAACTTCATCCCGACTTACAAGTCGGTACTTCCCGACGTCCCAAGGAAGCAGAAAAACAAATCTCCTCCATCTGCCACAACTCCACCAACAACTTCATCATCTCGGCCAAATCAGGGGTCAACATCAGATCCAGCAAAACAACCATCTACCTTGGCTCCACAGCTGATCCCACCGTCCCAACGTCGACACCAACTGTTGCCGAAATGGGTCGCAAGAAAGCAGTTGCAGAAGATCTTCTAGCTGACATCCCCGATACCATCAATGATCAGCCAGCACAATCCCAGCCTCAACCAAAGCCAATGCCCAAAAGACTGAAGAAGGCTCAGCCCAAGGCAACGGTGACTCAGATTGACACTGGGGACACCTTGCTTATTTCAAAATTGACTGAAAATGAGAAGACCCTCTCCGCCGCCGAGAAGAGGCCTGCTGAGGCCGAACCATCCCAATCAACTCGGTCCAAAAGGCCAAGGTCAGAATCGGCCACAACCTCGGGGCCCATGAAACCAGATGCCCCTTGGGCTCCCCCAATCACTATCGAGGACAAGCCGATCAGAGCTAGCGACAGTGCGATTGACCTTGAAGTCGGCGTTGCCCTCTCTACGGCTTTGCTCCTTCCAAATGATCTCAATCGTAACACCAAGATGAGCGAGTACGAAAACTTCGTTTTGATGCTGCAGCATTCCGTTCAAGTAAGTTCCTTACACTTGGCATCTTTCTTTCTCTATTTTTCCATACTTAGAGAATTTTTACTAACTTTTGTTCTGTTGTCCATTTTCTTTTAGGCGATCCAGCACGCCCATTCCTTCTTAATGCAAGCTTTTGGAATGAGGAAGAAGTTGGCCGACAAGATCAGGGAGGTTGTTGGTTTACAGAAGGCAGTAAAAAAGACCGAGGCAAAAATGAAGACCTTGTCAAATCAAGCCAATGCAGCCATTAAGGCTAAAAATGAAGCCGAAAAAAAAAACAGATGTTGTAGAGGCCATTAAGAAGGTTTCTGAGGTCGAAAAGAAAGAGGCCAAAGAAAAGATAGCCCAAGCCCAACAAGAACTCCAGGATGCCTTGGCCACAAAGGAGGCCGAGATCAAGGCCGCTGATGAAAAGGCGTACGCTGAGAGGGCAGCCGACGTCAAGGAGGACTACAAAAAACACGTGAAGCAGGCATGCAACAAGGGTTTCACCCTTGGTTGGATGGCTGCCCTAAAAAAGCTTGATGTCCCCGAGGACTCCCCCCTCAATAATGTCGACGTCCTCCCCCTGCCATTCCCCCCTACTCTAAGCCAATCCGAAGACGATTCTGAGTCTGAGGAGGAAGCTTTGGTGAGAAGGAAGAAGGAAGCTGCTGGGGCCAAGTCCCCTACTCTGTATGAGCAAGTTGTGGACTTGTCTCAGGATAAGGAGGGTGAGGTCTCTAAAGATGCCTCATCTTAGAAGACAAACTCCGAGGTGGCAATCGCCGAGAAGAGCCTCGATCAAACTCTTCAGGAGATTGATGCTGAGCTCGCGGCTGAGAAGACTGCTGAGAAGTCTTCCCAACTATCTTCTGGGGGTGAGACACAACTCGCCGCCGACGCCGAGTAGTTTATTTTGATGTTTCCTTCTTTATTTATTGTACCTTGTACTCTGTAAGCTTTTAGCTAGCCGATGTGCCTTCGTTTGAATGTAAATACAACTTCCTCTTTTGAATGCTTGCATATTT